GTATAGTGACTCGAATCCTAAGTTTCAACGTGAATTCAGAAATCGTTAGAATCATTTGCAATTTGCAAAAGGTGTTGCGAAGAAACTTTCCTTGTCTCGAGTAACGAATTACATACAATTTCAATTGCAATTAGGAGTCGATCTATTCGCGATATATTATACGCGTGTTTTATCTGCAAATAAGTACCTAAATGCGAAAAGGCAAAAGCGTTATAAAATTTAATTAATTCTCGCGAAACATTGGATTTTATTCCCGGAAACGAGGAGAATACCTATCGTGTAATTGAAACACGAAAAGGGGAAATTAGAAGTACAGATTCGCAACTTCAAATTCGTAATTCCAATTCGTTCGTTTCCCCCGCGAAATTATTCGAAAAGTTTCCGAAAAGCGAACCGATCCATTCCAGCCCGCCGTCTATCGTCGAAACTTCTATTACAAAGCGCATTGACCGTCGAATGGAACGGCTAATATCTAGATAAATGTGCGGTTTCGAACGTGAAATTATAGGGGACGGATCGGCCAATGACGCGTATTCACTGGAACCGGTTTCCGGATGCGAAACAGAATCTTTTCGGTCGAGCGAAGGGCCTCGCCTCGCTGAGAAAGATTAACCCTGCTGCTGTTCTCTTCGTTATTAATACATACTCTTAACCGTCCGTATTTATTCGACAAATAAACGAAATTACGCGAGCAAATTTAAAATCTTTCCTTGTAACGTGTAGCGCGATCTTATCCGATCTAATTTCATTTCTGCGAAATAAATTTTAATTTGTGATTGTGATAGACAAACAACGCAAAGATGTACAGATAGATCTATTGGAAATTTTAACGTTTTCGATTCTTCTAATTATTGTAGAATATTATTTCGAGTAGAAATAATAATGCATGTAGAAGAGAGTCACAAGAAGCAGCAAATAAAATTTGAGATCAGATAGACCCGAACGGAACGACAAGGTTAAAACGAGCGCAACCATTGAGAGTTTGGAATTTCAATGTTTTCACGCCGTTGAATCTTGCGATACTGTTAACCTCGAATCCCCTCATTAAGCAAAGACTTAGGCGCGGATGGAAAAACGACCACGACTTATTAGATCCGCCAAGTTTTTCCTTCCGCCTGGCAAACCGTTACGAGGCCGTGCAATTGCGATTCGGTTTTACAGTTCGAATTTCTTCGAAAGTCTCGTCACAGACATCTCTTCCCCGTCGCGTTGAGGCCATTTCGCCACGGAGGACCCAGATATCTTTTTTAAATACCGTGACGAATCGCACGAAATTGATCTCTGTCTGGTTTATTAAAGATTAGACCGATTGGACGATAACGGTGAAATGGAGGTAGGCGCGGTGTTTAAAGTGGAGCAAAGGCGCAAAAAGCGCGATCGAAACGAATGATGGAATTTTGCGAGAGGGAATCAATTCTTCGTGGACGAGCGTCGAAATGCCGGAATACGTTTTCGAAACGTGTCGCGATAATTATTCGTGTTCCCCAGAAACGAGAGAAAGGAGAAATTAGGGGAAATTTAAATAAATATCTCACGTTGAAGTACAATGCGTGTATTCATAGCACGTTAAATCTATTTGGTTCTGGTTAATTAGCATTTAAATGCTGTAATAAGCATAACAGTGTGCAAATACTTTCCCCGGCCACTGTATTTCCTTCTACGGAAGAATGGCCATAAATGGTAGAGAAACGCGAACCAGTCTATTGGAATTACAGGTTAAATTTCACAAAAGCCACGTGCTCTCGATAGGTACGTGGCAGGTAATACATCGAATTCTTCGGCGGTAAATAACGATGAAGGAACGCCAATAAAATACGATAGTAAATAACTAATCGAGGATGTACAACCGATTCCCGTGGAACTGTTATATGTTAATTCAGCTTGGATCAAAACTCGTTCGAAACTATTCCCGATACGAAGAAAGTGAAAAGCGGTAGAAAAGCGGCTGGTGATTGATTTTCACCGATTGTTCGTGTAGAGATCGAACGGTGTGTGCACAATGACGGTGTACGACATGGACGAGGGGTGCGTGCACGTTCGAGGCAGGAACTTCGAAACTTAAATTCCGAGCCTTTGTCCCTGCGTGGCGGAATTTCGAGTGGCTGTATTTTAGGGTACGATCGGAACAATAAGCCGCTTGACGGACAGAGGGAGCGGAAAAATTGCGTGAAAAGAGAGGAAGACACGGTTTGGAGGGGATGAAAAATCGTAAGGCGAGAGAAAGAGAAGGAGAGGATGGTAAGACAAAGACGTAGAAGAGCACCTACTAAAGATATATTCATGGTGTTCCGCCTTTTGTCCCCTAATCACTATTGTACGCTTGGATTCCGTATATACCGAATGGGACACCAGATGTGCACCATTGCACAGAGAATACAACGTAGCGTTTCATCGATTCAGCTAATTTCGCGAATACGATCAACGAGAATAGTGGAACCGAAGTAGCTTTGCAATAGCAATTGTGATACGGTGTTTTAAATTAAGTTATGCACTTATTCGATATGTTCGTATTACGTAAAATTGCGTAAAATTAAATTCGAAATAAGATAGAATGTCGCAACTTGTACAACGTACGCTAACGCCATCTGTTTGTCATTTTCATCGTGCTCGAAATAAAATCGCCATTTATATTATCGCCATTACACATACACGATAGAAAGATATTAGATATTCTCTATCCACGTAAAAGTTTTGTGATCACGGTAGATTCATCGAGATCCATTTATAAATTAAAAACGCAATCCGTTTTGTTGGGGATAAAATAGATGTGGATATAATATGCGATGCATAGACATGGTTGCGTGCAATGGAGTAGATACGGCCCTGTGCACGCTAGCCGCGTGTACTCGCGGTATTTATCATTCGAACGTGACTTACCTTTGCCGACGACATAGAGAAGGAGGTAACTGCCTCTACGGCTCATCCTGATGCGTTTCCGGGAGAAAGGGCCGAGAACAGGGCTTATTGGTCACGGATACGATCTCTCGGTGTGTGGAAGCTCGACGATATCTCGATCTACGAACATACGGTGACCATTGTTAGAGAGAAAAAACTGGCGAGAAATCGACGATTAGAACACACATACACATACACACACACACATACACACATAAGTAGAGAACAGACGAGTTTATTCCCATTTGAATGAATATTTCGCAATGGTTTCACTGGCAAAAACAGCTCTTTTGATCGAAAGCAGAATAGAATCAAGGTTAATTCGAGGCAATGAGTGACGCCACTACCACCAGTTACATAAATGGTTATATTGTTAGCTTATTACGGTTACGATCAAAGTCAGACGTTTTTACGTAGGTTGCAAGAAAGATTACCACGTAAAGCAAATAATGTTACCTTTATGCGTTGGATTATACGTCGATTGCATTGATTTCTTCTTGAAATTCACACACGCGAAATCTCACTGTGACACTCCATCGCGACCGCGCAAATTAACTAACTTTAAATCAATATTTTCGCTAGTGACCACCAGATGGTACTCTTAAACTTGCATCAACCAATAGCGTACGTAGATTGTGTCAAAGATGCGATATAGGTCGCAAATCGATCAATCGATATATTTTTTATTCTATGACTCACTTCGCACACCTTCTATATCAAATCGAGTGAGAATTGTACCTAACGTTTGTTCGGTTTAAAATAATATTAGTAATAATTAGAATTGAAATTAGAAGTATATACTTAACATAATTGTGAAATTGCATCATAGACATCTTTCAACAAGTTAGAGATATATTTATATTTGTGTTTGTGTATTTATTTAGTGTAAATTTTTGCAATGCAAAAATATTTTTTCTGCGATAGAATATTTCTTCGAAACTTCAGGTATGTGTTACAATAATTTATAATCATTATTAATTGTTGCTCTTAATCGAAAAACAAAAGAAAACATGCTTTTAAAAATTTTCGTAAACGAAAGATTCTTTTATCCTTTCTTCGGCTTTAAAAGTTTTCTTTCGTTTTGAAAATATCAATCAATTCGTCGTCTTTATCCGAAATGGCAAATCTATTTTCCTTATCTTCTATCGATCAGTGAAAATATCGAGTTTATTTATTTTTCTTTGACCGCTTATTCGAGTAGACATTCCCGGGATAACTTTCTTTCGTTCTTTAAATCTGACCGTTTTTCAATATATCCAATGAAAAACACAAATATTTAACTTTTATTCGATAGCCTCAAGGCTAAAAAAAATTTTCTATCTTCGTATCACATAACCTTCGGAAATATTGCATTAATCTTTTCGCTCTGTCCGTGCAAATAATCGTAACGACCGATGATTCGTTTAAGAAATCTCTTCGTGTTTCGTTCAATTCGTTGTTTCGTATACACTAGTGGTTAAATTATATAATCGAGACGAGGTAAATCTTTTTTCGCGTATCGTGTAAATGAGAACTATAACGAGAATATAATGCTCTCTTCCGCCGTCGAGTCAGCTGGATGCTCGTTAGGTTAGGTTAGCATTTAAATAAGAACATATAGGTATAGGTTTTGCTACGATCAGGTATCGTGGTAATTGGTAGAAAAGCCGTGGTCTGACCCGGAAGTCACACGATCTCTTATCCTCGTCTTGACATTTCGAACGCCCCGTAAGCGGAAAATATTTCACGAAAAGAAATGCATACGCCATGCTCTTTTGCGAAGCCGACGTGACGACCATTGTTCCGTTTCGCGCACTCGTTGCCCCAAGCCTCTCTATGGTCAGTTGAGTGCAGTCAATCTGAAGTGGCCCGAGGCTACCGAATTACAATGGAGAAAGAACAGCCTTTCTCCAGCCGTGGTCGGCCACAAACAGGCAGCCAAGTTGGACACAGGTGCATGCAGATAACCGTACAATGCGCCGAGTACAATCTCCACAACTTACGGAGATCGTCTTTTTCTCCGCCGCACACATCGTTATCTTAAAAGTGAACTCGTTGAACGAACAAAGAAGATTTTAAATATTTTATAGAATATCTGTAAATAACGAATAAAATAAATATCGTGATTATTGGAGACGAGGTAACTGGAGATGAAAATTTTTTTGATAAGTTTACTTGTAATTTTTATAAAAAAAAAAAAGTTAGAAGACACGAATGAACGAAAAATTGATAATTTTATCTAATATACGTATAATCTTATGAAACTAGGCAGGGGACAATAAACAGGAACATATTCGTACATATTTGCATTGTAAATTTCGCGTGTTCAACACTGTCGTCGATAATATACGTAGATAAAAAATACGAGCTACGAGAAAAGTTGGAATAACAAAATGTTACGTTGAGCGTTTTTATTTTAAAATAATACGTGGATGGTCGAGCGTTTAGCTCTTAGCAAAACATCGTTCTATTTACACACGTTTTTAAAAATAGGCGTCCATTATCAATTATTCGATATAGTGTATATCAAAGAT